CTGCTCCAGCACTACATGCTCAAATTTGAGCTATTTTAAATTTTTTGCCCAAAACGCTAAAAAACCATGATGTATAGCCTTAACATTTTTTCGATGAAAATGGCTGACCTCCTTCGATTTGGCTGAAATTCGTATGGAACGTTGCTGTGGATCTAAGAAACAGATGCCCGGTGCCCAATGGCCTTTGGTCCATTTTATTTGGCGTGAATATGACTTTTCCCGTGGCGCTACTTGATTTGAGGAAGGTGTGGGCGCTGGGTTGCCTACCTACGAGGCGCACGCTCAAAGCATACCAGTTTTTCGTCCGAAAGATAGGGTTAAGAGTCGAAATGGCCCCCGAAATAGTGTCAGGAGTCTTCAGGGACTGCTCCAGCACTACATGCTCAAATTTGAGCTATTTTAAATTTTTTGCCCAAAACGCTGAAAAACCATGATGTATAGCCTTAACATTTTTTCGATGAAAATGGCTGACCTCCTTCGATTTGGCTGAAATTCGTATGGAACGTTGCTGTGGATCTAAGAAACAGATGCCCGGTGCCCAATGGCCTTTGGTCCATTTTATTTGGCGTGAAAATGACTTTTCCCGTGGCGCTACTTGATTTGAGGAAGGTGTGGGCGCTGGGTTGCCTACCTACGAGGCGCACGCTCAAAGCATACCAGTTTTTCGTCCGAAAGATAGGGTTAAGAGTCGAAATGGCCCCCGAAATAGTGTCAGGAGTCTTCAGGGACTGCTCCAGCACTACATGCTCAAATTTGAGCTATTTTAAATTTTTTGCCCAAAACGCTAAAAAACCATGATGTATAGCCTTAACATTTTTTCGATGAAAATGGCTGACCTCCTTCGATTTGGCTGAAATTCGTATGGAACGTTGCTGTGGATCTAAGAAACAGATGCCCGGTGCCCAATGGCCTTTGGTCCATTTTATTTGGCGTGAAAATGACTTTTCCCGTGGCGCTACTTGATTTGAGGAAGGTGTGGGCGCTGGGTTGCCTACCTACGAGGCGCACGCTCAAAGCATACCAGTTTTTCGTCCGAAAGATAGGGTTAAGAGTCGAAATGGCCCCCGAAATAGTGTCAGGAGTCTTCAGGGACTGCTCCAGCACTACATGCTCAAATTTGAGCTATTTTAAATTTTTTGCCCAAAACGCTGAAAAACCATGATGTATAGCCTTAACATTTTTTCGATGAAAATGGCTGACCTCCTTCGATTTGGCTGAAATTCGTATGGAACGTTGCTGTGGATCTAAGAAACAGATGCCCGGTGCCCAATGGCCTTTGGTCCATTTTATTTGGCGTGAATATGACTTTTCCCGTGGCGCTACTTGATTTGAGGAAGGTGTGGGCGCTGGGTTGCCTACCTACGAGGCGCACGCTCAAAGCATACCAGTTTTTCGTCCGAAAGATAGGGTTAAGAGTCGAAATGGCCCCCGAAATAGTGTCAGGAGTCTTCAGGGACTGCTCCAGCACTACATGCTCAAATTTGAGCTATTTTAAATTTTTTGCCCAAAACGCTAAAAAACCATGATGTATAGCCTTAACATTTTTTCGATGAAAATGGCTGACCTCCTCCGATTTGGCTGAAATTCGTATGGAACGTTGCTATGGATCTAAGAAACAGATGTCCGGTGCCCAATGGCCTTTGGTCCATTTTATTTGGCGTGAATATGACTTTTCCCGTGGCGCTACTTGATTTGAGGAAGGTGTGGGCGCTGGGTTGCCTACCTACGAGGCGCACGCTCAAAGCATACCAGTTTTTCGTCCGAAAGATAGGGTTAAGAGTCGAAATAGCCCCCGAAATAGTGTCAGGAGTCTTCAGGGACTGCTCCAGCACTACATGCTCAAATTTGAGCTATTTTAAATTTTTTGCCCAAAACGCTAAAAAACCATGATGTATAGCCTTAACATTTTTTCGATGAAAATGGCTGACCTCCTCCGATTTGGCTGAAATTCGTATGGAACGTTGCTATGGATCTAAGAAACAGATGTCCGGTGCCCAATGGCCTTTGGTCCATTTTATTTGGCGTGCAAATGACTTTTCCCGTGGCGCTACTTGATTTGAGGAAGGTGTGGGCGCTGGGTTGCCTACCTACGAGGCGCACGCTCAAAGCATATTAGTTTTTCGTCCGAAAGATAGGGTTAAGAGTCGAAATGGCCCCCGAAATAGCGTCAGGAGTCTAGAGGGAGTGCTCCAGCACTACATATTGGAACTTAGGTCATTTTAAATATTTCACCACAACATGGAAAAAAAAAACTGTTGTGTTTTAGCTCCTTTCCAACCAAAGGTCAAGCACCCCAGATTTTTCTGAAATTCATCTTCACCTCATATTTTATTTGTGGTCTGTTTTGATCTTTTGTCTCCCCTTGTGAGTGTGAAAGTGAAAGGAAAATGAAAAAACATTCACAGATCATTTGTTTTTAAACTTTATTTTAAAATAATTTTCACACACGCTGACAATCTGTTATAAAAAAAAGACGACACATGGTTTGCATTAGAAGACGTCATCTGTAAATACACGGAGGATACCCCTGTATGGATGTTGGTAAAAAGATGTGGTTAGTATCTAAAATGATGGATCCATTTGTTTTATGGTAGATGCTAAAACCCTGCTTATGTCTACGACAGTCGCCCATAGTTTGAATTTATTTGACTGCTGTAACTGCAATTTGACAACTATGTATACATATCGAGTTGGATTAAATACAGTTAGTAATAGAACTGATCTATTGTTCTAGGTGCATTTTTTATACTTGAAATCTTTAATGCACCAACTTAGAGATATTTGTCAATAAATTAAATAAACAACACGCTACCATCCTATAGATCGACCTCAGCAGATATCAGAAGCATAATTGCCCAATGCTATAAGTATAAAGAAACGCGGCTACATAAGAAATTCTAATTGTGACTTATTTTAAAAGCATACTGTGCCTGTCTGCTACAAGTATTCGCTTATTGCTGCCACGATATAGCAGCAGCGCCACTTCTAGAGTTACAAACAGCATTGAGCAGCTACGTTACTTCATGTTTTACCATCTTCTTGAAAGGCATCTAAATTATTTTTTAATTAACAGCGTTTGATTTCAAACAATTTCAGTCTTACAATTCCAAACCAATGATTCTGAACAGGGATTTGCTTTTCTGCAATAGTCTTGATCTCAAGTCAAATTACGTTACATGTGAGGCACTCTTTCAGACTTTCAACACCGCTCACCGGCGGTTGATGAAATTCCCAAACAGATAGTATCTGCTGAGGACCGTTGGAGAGAACAGTGACAAAAGGTCACATCATAATTCCTCGATTGAATGTTAGCAACAATCATAAATATGGCAAAAAATTACACTGTCTCCTCCATCAGCACACAACACACGAACACAAAGAAACACAGTAGAGCACAAGACATCTGTCCTAGCCGGCGTCCTAGAAAAACAACAATTATGAAACCCTTAATAATTCGAAGCCGATGGCACTGATGTCACAGAAGAGTAACATTAACGTTTCATTCTAATAATGTGGTTGAGAGGAGGTCACAACGCCGTAGTGTTTTGACACTTCAGCCAGAATCCTCTGCCATTGACTTCGAACAAAGAACACTTGCGCCTCAAAAACGTCTACTTCCTAAAATGATGACACAGTTAATTCTTGGTGGTTACAAACTAGCAACGAACCAATTGAGACCAATCAGATGCATGAGACGGCTAAAATTTGGCAAAACTTTAAGCAAAAAATACACTTACATTTATGTTCCAGTAGAACCCAAGCATCATCGAATTTGCCTCAGTTGGCTCGAATTCGGAAACCTTACAAACTATATAATCAAATTGGTCGTAGGCCGTTCTCAGCATGCTTTAAATGCATGGCTGAAGAAGATCGACAAGTCACACATCGCAGCTGGAATGGATGTCACTATCAAATCGATTTCTCGCTGTTTTCGTCACAATCGGGTTATCCTTCTCCACTCCACAGCTTCCGCTGGGTTTCATTCAAACGATGAAAGTCCCGCATACCCTCTCTGCCTCCTCGACCTCGGAATCGAGTCCGAGGAGGCGTAGGGCGTTTTCACAAGATTTTCTCTCAGCCGAAGCGAAAGCTTTCGCGAGTCGGTTTTTAAATTGGAGCGTGTGGAGCACAACTACTTCAAGTCTCAATGATTCATGCACGCTGTCAAAGTGCTCTGAATTCATTTTAAGTAGCAAACTACTGATGTTGGTAGCAAAACAAATAAAATTAAATCGTTGCATTCATCTGTTTCTTTCTGAGACGATTTTCTCATGGAGTTATCGTTACTCACGGAAACGACATAGTACCTGCTGTTAGCATGGTACGAACACTGGAGTATAAACAAAAAAGAAATAACTTCATATCAATATGATATATAAAATCAAAAATATTCAACAACTGCTTAGCAAAGCCTATATCTAGATATTTAATAAATCATATAAAATTCCTGTCTCCAAAACGGAAAAGAAATTTAGATAATAAAATAAACTGGGTAAAAAAAACTTAATTTTTCAAATTTGTACCATGAATTTCATCGGCTGTTAATCGAAGGTCATAATTAACTGCTGAGGGCTTTTTGTCATACAATTTAGTTTTTGTATGGGCGTCAGCTCACTTCCTACGAGAAACACTTTTAAGTAGCACCGTCCTGTCAGAGGTACAAACACAGTTAGTTTGCGCATGCAAGAGGATTGGGCTCGTACACTCTCGGCCAACGGGGATGAAAGGAATCATGAATGTTACATGTACAAGGGAGGTACCGCACCGCGCCAGGTCGGACAATCGCGACAAATTTTTGTTTGAAAAATAGTAACAACTTTCTGGAAGAGCGGTCGCTGGGGTGGCGCGGTACGTCCCGGTGGTGGTCGGTCGGGGAGCGCCGGCCCGTGAGCAAGGGTCGCCCTGCCGACGGGGCGCCGCTCCCGGGCGCCACGCTTACAACTAACAGAAACAACAACGCAGGTACATTAGAACAAACAACGAGGTGGCATTCCCTCGGCTCAGACGGGCGGCGGGCCGCGGACATAGCGCAGCTGGGGGCTGAGCGACAGGTTGAGGTTGTTGATGGCGTCGCAGCAGTGCGGCTCCAGCAGACAGGCGACGCACAGCAGCGCCATGATGGCCATCTGGAAGGGCAGCGCGGCGCGCATGGCCCTCCACAGCCAGTGCCGCGGCCGCGACTTGCCCGTCTCGGGGTCCTCGGGGTCGTCGGGGTCCTCGTCAGCCTCGCGCAGCCCGCGCTTCCGGGACTTGCGCCACTTGGTGCTCCTGCGGGCAGACAAGGGGTGCCGTTACAAACAGGACAAGGACAACGTCAACATGGTGGGCTGGATCGTCCAGGCCTCGCCAATCTTGCAACTACCCCCAACGGTGCAAGGCGCCCTGTGCAAAACACCGCTAAGTCGGGAGCTAGGGGTAAGTCAGGGAAGGAAAGCACAGGGTAAGAAAAGCACAGCCTCACGGAGCTGATATCTTGGCCCTCGGCCAGTTACTTCAAGTAAAAACGAAAATATGATTACGAAATCCCTGTCCAATGGCTGTCGAAATGTCTGCGGGTGTGTGCTTGTGCTTCCCTTTTATTCCCCAACTTACCCCTACAAGCACAAGAAACAAATACGACAACCAGGGGATTCTGAGACAAATCTCATGGAGGCACCGCAACGCCCCGTCCCATCATGTTCGCTTCCCCCAAGGCAGGCCGCGCCGTGCCGCGCCGTGCCGTGCCACCCCGACATGCAAACCGAAGGCCACTTGATCCGCTGTCTTGCCGCCACAGCCCAGCGCCCCGCCCCTCGCTCCATCACACTAGCCAAACGAATCCATCGCGACCAATAACGAGACTGGTGCACTGCGGAGACATACCGCGCTGCACCAGGCGCGGAAAAAAGCGACAAATGATGCAACAAAACGAGAACACTCGTCAACCTGCCCAAAATCAGCGGCGATTTCTCTTTCTTTCTCTCTCGCTCGCCGAGCCAGACTAATGGCGGTAATTACTTATCCGGCGCCTTATATGAGATTCTCAAATTAGGGGCGTCGGGTTCAGAGGGTGGAAAAAAAGTGGCACGTAATACGAAAAGACGCGTCAATTCGTTTTGCAGCGGACTTCCCTCCCCGCGAAGGGATGGCAGGAATTAGAGCTACAAGAAGGCGCGGCGGGAAGGCGAGAAAAAAAAAGAAAAAAGCGACGAAACAAAAGGCAAGAGTCGCAGTCAAGGTTTATTGCTCGAGACACATTGTATTTGATGCAAATTTGCACCGCCCTCCCAGAAGCTGGCTGCCGCCCCCGCGCTGCCCGCGCTGCAGGGGAGTCCGCGTTCTTTTCGCCTTCTTTCGCTCCCCTCGGACCTCGCGACCATCTGGAAGGTCTATCATTACGTCATCACACTTAAGCCGGCGGGCACAAGGGCAATATACAGTCTCAAACTTATTTTCCTGGGGAACGGGTTGCCGGCGTTGCCGCGGCTGCAGCCAATCGCAAGCCCCGCCAACTTGGGCGCGTTAAAACTTGGCCCGCCCAGCCGCGCTTTCAAATTCGCAACCCGAATGATGGCGCGAGCGATCATTTCCTGGGTGACATTCGAGACAAACTGCTTGAAGAGTTTTTCAGTTCGGTAAGTTGTTGCTCTTGCACTGCATGTATACTAAGATTCAGGATGGAAGGCGCCGCTGAGTAGCGCGGTGGTAGATGACGGCCGACTACCTGACTCCGCCCTGGTGTGGGGGAGGGTCCGGGTCGGGGCCCGGCTGGAGTCCTTTTGTCTCCTTGCATTTATAATGAGCAATTTTAAATCTCTTAGTACTACTTCAAAATTCTAGAATTGCTATGAAGTCAATGCAGATTCGAAATCACAAGAAAAATCTGAGCAATTTAAAAAAAAGTTGGAGGTTTGAGTCATTATTATTTGCCAGTGTGATAAACCGGTTCAACAGGTCAAAATTGTCGTAGAAACACGCCGTTTTCACAAAAGTTCATAAATTTTTAGGGTCATTTCAAAACACCGATCCATTTCTAAAAATTTCTAATCATTAAAGTTTTGAATTGGTGCCAGAGTAAAAAGCTCATCGCTATTCGACGGCCTTTTGTCGCGACTGCGAGGGTAGCTCTCCACCCGCACAATGGGGCGGGGGCTCCGGGGTCTGTGTCAATGGCCAGGTCAGAAATGTTGTTGCGGTAGCTGGGGAGGCGTAGCCAGCAGAAAATCGGGCCAGCGGCGCCTTCCATCCTGAATCTTAGTATAAGAGCAGAGTCCTGCGGCGCGCGCCGAAAAAGAAGGAAATGTTTTTGAAATGTTGGGGTTGGGCAGGCATATGTCGCGCGGCGCCCTCGGGGTATCAAGTGGAGGGTCCTGACCGCGGTTGTAACATCAGAGTTCACACCCTCTGACCGGGGTGCGCCCCGCCCCGCCCCGCCCTCCCCGGCAGCGCGCGGAGTCTGCAAGTCGGCATAATAGACACCCCCTACTCTTTTAATGGTTCATCTGCATAGCAAAGAGTGTCGCTGTAGGAGGAAGGGCCCGCGAGGGCGGCGAAGGCAGGGCCAAGGCGACATCACTTTTTCCGCACTTGGCTGCCACCCAACAGCAATACCGCATTCCGCCGGGCTGCCTTCGGTCCTACGGTGTACTGCACGTGGCTCCGTCTCTCTCGCTCTGCTGGAGCGTCCCGTGGGGCAGCGAGAGAGACAGAGCTACGGGGCCCGGCTCGGGAAACGCGATTGCGCGCGGGGGCTTAGCGCGCACACTTAGCCGCCGCGTGTGCTGTGCCCGCTGCCTGTTGGCTGTTTTGCCGCCGTTTTCATCGAGAAACTTTGGCCGCCTCCACGCCTGCCTCCGCGCCGACCGCCCTCGCTACAAGCAGTTACAGAGTTACAGCGAGCCCATGCGTGCTCCGAGGATTACGCAATCCTCAGCCGACACAAGTTCGTCGCAGCACCCTGAGTTCTAGTCCTAGCCGCGCGTGATCTCTTCTGCAGAGGACAGAGCGCGCTTCGCGCGAGAGCCCACAAAAGCAGTCTACTGAAAAATAAAAAAAAAAAATTAACACCTGCCGCCCGGCCGGTACTCGAGCCCGACCCCCGCCAGCTCGGATTCTCTCGGATCAACAAGTTGAGGGCGTTTTCCCCTCGCTCGCAATAAACTGCGGCGCGGCTGGCTGCCTGCCTGGCTGCCTGAGGGCGGGGGTGTCCGCGCGAAAGACAACTGCACTGCAAGGCGGGCTGTTTCGGCCAATACGCTGCCGGGGCAATTAAACGTCCATGAAAAAAAAACGCGCGAGAAACAAAAGGAACGGGCTATTAAACAGCGCGAGAATTCTAATAATAATGAAACAAGAAAAAAAAAGCGTAAGAATTTCAATAAATTTAAAGGTCCTGACAGAGGCCGGCCGGCCGTGGTGTCGCGAAATAATGAATGGCTTCTGCTGGAGGAGACTGGAGGCGAAAAAGGAAAGGGGTGGCTTCGCCTGCTTCCTTCGGGTGGTTTGGGTCCTAAGTAGCTGTTTAGGGCGCAATCAACTTTAATTGTGCAGGGTTAGGGCGCCGCGCCTGGCCGCGCCGCCACGCCACTGCAGGGCCCTTGACAAAAACTTGTCCGTCATAAAGCCTAGGCCGTCTCGGACGAGTCTCGGAGGCCCCCTTGGAGGCCCTTTCGGACACCGCGGCGCACGCGACTGCTTTTATTACAGGCCGCGGTGCGCGCAAACGGTCCGGAGACGGTCTAAGAAATGACAAATTCTCTAATCCCTTCGGGAGAGCTTAAACGACTTAAAGAAATGAGGCTTGGGGGGCGAAGGGCTGCCGCCTGCGGGGCGCCGCCCTGGGGAAAGGGCCGCGACGCGTCACTGGGCGGCCAACGCACCTTGAAGGGCTTCAAGGCCTTCAAGTGCTGCAATCGGAGGCGTAAACCTGTCGCACTGTCTCCGCGGTCTCCGCGGTCTCCGCCCAAAGGTCCCAAAAGCAAGCGGTCCCAAAAGCGACTCACCAGTTAGCCCATCATCGAGGAAAGAATCGTAACTGCGAGGGGTCGCCCGGGCAGTTAGGGTTCCTTCCCTGGGACATGTGTCCCATCCCGTAAAGCGGTTACAGTTACAGGCGTCGAGATGGAGTCAGATCCATAACGCGAGCAACTGCCCCGCTTACGAGTTACGACCCGGCATTACAATCCCAAAGCACACCCACGTTCACCAACAACACACACACATAGAGACGAGGGGCCAGCCAGGTGGGTCCACTAGACGAAAAGCTCCCCCCGCCCGGCTGCAAGCACACACGTACCAAAACGCGAGTACGACCGCTTCGACAAGACCGTGTCGCACGTCGTGCCGCCGACGGACCGCCGCCTGCAGCGCCGTCCTCAACATCGACGTCCACGACGGCGTCCTCGACGGCGTCCTGGCGGCCTCGGCCCTGGACAAGTGCGCCGTCAACAGCGAGCCACCCGACCACAATTAGGGCCACCCCTCTCCAGTGTGGGCCCCTGGCTATTAAAGTGCACGCTGCACCGTATAAATCAAATTTGGCCGAGCGGGCCGGGGCGGGGGAGCCGACGGCGACCCGAAGGCGACCCGAAGGGGACCCGAAAGGGACCCGAAAGGGACCACAGCAAGCGGCCGGCGCGGCGCCACGCCGGGGCACTGCTCGAGCTTGACAATTCTTTCAGCTGTTGGTGCCGGCAGGCGGGCGGACAGCAGACAAACGGACAGACAGACAGACAGACAGACAGACAGACAGACAGACGGACGGACAGACAGACAGACGGACGGACGCGCTGACGCGGGAGGGAAGTTGACGACTAAGTAGTCAGTAATGGAGGCGGCGCGCAAGGCGGCCTGGCGGCTGGCATGGGAATCACCTGATTTGTCCGGCACGGCGCGGCAGGGCACGGCACGGCGCCGCAACGTGTAATGAACGAAACCCGGCCAAATTAGGAAGAAATGGCGGAAACTGGCGCGCAAAGATGAGAGTCCGGGGACGGGGTGCATCCGGCGCTGTTAAACCCACCCCTCCCTCTCCCTCCCCCTCCCCGCCGCGGTCGTCGCGCCCTCTCGCTCGCGGGGTTCGCGGGGCAGGCCGGCCGGGCAGGCGCCCGAATAGACCACACAGGTTACGGGTTATAGTGCAGGGGCATAAAGGCTGCGCGCCGCGGCGCCGCGCGGGCCGCGCCACAAGGTAGTGTACGAACGGGTACTTTGTCGGGAGAGGGACAGGTACTCGCGCTGTATCGAATTAAGTGCCGACACTTTAACGGCCCGCACTCCGCGGCGCTCGG